CCATTATATGACATCTTCATTTATCAAAGCTTCTACCGGTCTACAGAATGAGGTTACATTGACATCATTGACAATTTTGACCTCTGCTATGCCACCAGGACTAACAACATGGGGAAAAGAAGGCTTGACATTTCACTGCAATGGATATTTTTGAGTATATACACAACACTGAATTTTAACAGCTGCCCAAAACACATTACCCATGCAAAAGCTTAAAATATAAATAAACTATTTAAAAATATGATCTTTTTCAATGAATTTTGTAAGAATATTTTCTAGGATACAATTTAATGAACTACTTAAGTATTAAAAACGTAATATGTGGGAAATACATGCAAATGAACAAACTCACTTTGCTTTCCCTCTTAATAGAAAAATACGAAAAATGACAACCAACTGCTTATACTAGTCTAGATTTAACATATCTCTGCCATACCTCATCTAAAATATTAGGACAATATGATTTGTCTTTTCTAAAAGCCTTTAAAATGACCTGGAGATGTCTAATTTTAAGCTATTTGAGATGTTGGGATGCTTTTTCATCGACATTAAAGCAACAGTGATTTTTTATTCAATTTTTGTAATTTTATGTCAGCCATGTAAAACAATGCAGCTTATTTGAGAAAATTAAATTATGATGTTTGAAATTAAGAACCTTAGGCTATCTACTTGAATCAATGTAAACATATATTGGCCCTTATCTAATATATGAGCTGCATCGGATAGAAACGGACCATATGCAAATGAATATCGATACATCTGTTAACCTATTTTGAGTTGAAAAATTCTCTTTGAAAAGTCTGCAACTGTTTGAAAATTGAGTTAATATAAGAAAGAACCCTACAAAACAGACCAAAATTCATCTTTTATTTCGTATTTGAATGTTCCAAAATCAATCAAAGTCTTAAGCATGTACACATGCACTTGCATAAGGTAGATTTCTATCTGACACAGCTCATGATACAAAAACTTGACCAGACAAACATATTTTTCAGTAGAAGAGAAAGGTAACATCTTAATCATTCACAGAGTTGACAAACAAAAATATGTCCACTCATGGAGGGAATATACAACCTTAGCACTATAAATAATACCACAAGAAGTTACTATTAATAAATATATGTATATATTACAAATATCAACAGCATGGAATACACATAATTACACCTAATTGTTAAAAAAACTAAAAAAACCAATTGAGAGTTTTTATTACAAGAATCATAATACAATACTGAAAGACGTGTAGATGGTTTTAATACAACCCACAATTAAAGCAAATTACTTATGTGTCAAACACCTCTAATTTGCCCTAATACGACATAAATTTGAAATTGGCATATTTCTAACCTTACAAAAGCTGTTACTATGTTAGCAGTGATAAATATAATAATTTGAATGCCTTTTTTACAAAAGCTGGAGAATGGCTCCAAACACCGAAAACTTAATCTGCTGTACAACAGGTAAATAAGTCGTTCTATCTTTAAATATGGAAGAACTAAACTATTCTACGCACCATTTCAAAATTTCAAGTAGAGTCTGCTATGAAGGTCACTTCTATTAAGAGAAAATCTGTCTTGTCAATTAACCCTATCTTTGTCCCACTGCAGTAATACCTATGCACTTTGAACCTCAAATCAAAGGTCACTACTCTTATATAGTCAGTTTTCTCTGGTCCAGAGGATGACCATTATATATAGATTTGACTGAAATCAAACACTTCTCATTTTTGTTCACAAAGAGTTGAGGTCATTCTTTCTCCCTAAGCTCCAATATGGACAAGTATCATAAAACTAAAGTATTATTTAGGAAACAAACTAATAAATCTTTAAATGGCACATGATATAAAGCTATCAATTCAGAGCATTCAAATATATTTAGTAGTTCAAACACAACTAACTTCAAATAGGCCAACCCAGTCATTCATAAAATACAATTCTCTACAGTACTAGGTACAGAGATCTACTTCTTAAAAATACTTAAATTGCTAAATGACCTGTTTTTATCATAATATTCAAAAGCTACTAGTATATATATTAAACTGATAAACATCTTTATACATTTAAATCTGACTATTTTAGGTTAACTGCATGATTTGTCAATATACCCTAATGCTATGCTTGCTTACCAATCTAGGTACATGTCGGTCCAACATTTTTCCTCTAAATTAAATGTTCTATCTTTTATAAATAATAATGCTGCTAAAAAATTCTATTTGGTAATTGATATACTATAGTCATATAAGATATACTTCAAGCAGCTTTATGCTTTTTAGATTGATTCGAATTTAAACACTGAATGGAAGACAAAAATAACTTAAAACCCTTCATATCAATAAATGATGATCTCCATTGAAAGACCTAATCCCTTGAAGTATTTTATGTTCGAAAAACTGAATACCAGACTTTTTTTGTACTGTACCACAACCTATTACTGCTATCTGTACGGAATATACAAAAGAAACTGAGATCAGATTACAATCAAAAACAATTGTTTTTGCTATAGTGTACAGAGGATTTTTGTCTATGTTTCCAATTACCATTTCAATACACTGGAATTTGCAATCATGTAAATCAGATTTGATCGGTATTGTTTATACCATCTCCCGTACTAATAGCTCGTAATAGGGTGATGACATCATACTTAAAATAAAATGCTCCGCAGGGCGCAGCTTGATACGACCGCAGAGGTCGAACCCTGAACAGTTGGGGGAAGTATGGACACAACATTCAAGCTTGATACAGCTTTGGATTTGGATTGTGATTAAATATTTGACACAGCATAGGTTTCTAACACAGATTGAATGTGGTCTAAGAACTTAAAAATTTTAAATTGGACATTCACCTATTATGGTCCAATATCCAAAATCTAAATACATGGTTAGATTCAGCATATCAAAGAACCCCAAGAATTCAATTTTTGATGAAATCAAACAAAGTTTAATTTCGGACCCTTTTGACCTCAATGTGGACAAAGTTGATAACGGGGCCCAAAAATCAAAAATCTAAATACATGGTTAGATTCAGCATATCAAAGAACCCCATATATTCAATTTTTGTTGAAATCAAACAAAGTTTAATTTTGGACCCCGATTTGGACCAACTTGAAAACTGGGCCCATAATCAAAAATCTAAATACATGTTTAGATTCAGCATATCAAAGAACCCTAAGAATTCAATTTTTGTTAAAATCAAACTAAGTTTAATTTTGGACCCTTTGGACCTTAATGTAGACCAATTTGAAAACGGAACCAAAAATTAAGAATCTAAATATACGGTTAGATTCGGCATATCAAAGACCCCCAATAATTCAATTTTTGATGAAATCAAACAAAGTTTAATTTTGGACCCTTTTGACCTCAATGTGGACAAAGTTGATAACGGGGCCCAAAAATCAAAAATCTAAATACATGGTTAGATTCAGCATATCAAAGAACCCCATATATTCAATTTTTGTTGAAATCAAACAAAGTTTAATTTTGGACCCCGATTTGGACCAACTTGAAAACTGGGCCCATAATCAAAAATCTAAATACATGTTTAGATTCAGCATATCAAAGAACCCTAAGAATTCAATTTTTGTTAAAATCAAACTAAGTTTAATTTTGGACCCTTTGGACCTTAATGTAGACCAATTTGAAAACGGAACCAAAATTTAAGAATCTAAATACACAGTTAGATTCGGCATATCAGAGAACCCCAATAATTCAATTTTTGATGAAATCAAACAAAGTTTAATTTTGGACCCTTTGGACCTCAATGTGGACCAATTTAAAAACGGGGCCCAAAATCCAAAAACTAAAGGTACACGGTTATATTCAGCATATTAAAGAACCCCATGAAATCAAGAATAAAACCCCATTGAAATTGGTCAAGAAATAAGCAATTTATAGGAAGTATCTTCTTTTGCACAATCCTGTGCTATTAAATATTTCTTGCTATTGCGCAATACTGTACAATTGACAATTTCTTGCTATTGCGCAATATTGTGCTATTGGATATTTCTTGCTATTGCGCAATACTGTGCAATTGAAGATTTCTTGCTATTGCGCAATACTGTGCAATTGAAGATTTCTTGCTATTGTGCAATACTGTGCAATTGAAAATTTCTTGCTATTGCACAATACTTATTATATAATAATTTACACATCCTGTTTGGTGTGTATCTCCTACCATATCATTATTATTTGATTTTAAATATAAATCAGAAATAACCAACTTAAAATGGAAAATTTTAAAAGAAACAAAAAAGGAAAAAAAGAAAAAAAAGGAAAAAAAAATAAACCCCCCCCCAAAATTTTTTGAACCCCCATTATGATTCATCACCCCCAAACTCAATCCCAGCCTTCCCTTTGTGGTATGGTACCTTGCAGTACAATTTCAGAGAGATCCATACACTTGAACACAAGTTATTGTCTGGAAACTAGAAAAAAATGTGTTTTTTGGCCCCTTTTTGGCCCCCAATTCCTAAACGTTTAGGGCAATTACCCCCAAACTCAAACCCAGCTTTCCCTTTGTGATATGGAACCTTGTAAAACAATTTCAGAAAGATCCATACACTTACACACAAGTTATTGTCATGAAACTAGAAAAATGCTTGTTTTTTGCCCCTTTTTTGGCCCCTAATTCCTAAAATTTGGAGGCAATTACCCCCAAAATCAATCCCAGCATTCCTTTAGTGATATGGAACCTTGTGGTACAATGTCAGAGAGATCCATACACTAACACACAAGTTATGTCTGGAAGTTACAAAAATGCTTATTTTTGGCCCCTTTTTGGCCCCTAATTCCTTTACTGTTATTACCATAACCCCCAAAATCAATCCCAACCTTCCTTTTGTGGTATTGAACCTTGTGGTAAAATTTCATAAAGATCCATTCACTTAAACTAAAGTTAGAGTGCGAAAACCAATATGTCTTCGGACGACGACGACGACGCCGGACGACGACGACGCCAACGTCATACCAATATACGACCACAAAAATTTTTTTGCGGTCGTATAAAAAGTAGCGCATTTGACATCTACAATACAAAAGCATTCTGTTCTATAATATCATCCTTGACAATTTTACAATAAATTCTGCATAGAAATTGTTAAAAGCAATTGTCCTTATAAGACACTTTTTGTCCTTCTAGCATCAATGCCAGTGTCTTTTCTCTCAGCTGGACAAAATCATAGCTATTTTATAAAGCACTTGAACATGGATTTACACTTCAGATCTATTCTGTAATTACAGTTGCTACGAACTTTTTTACTTAAGCACTAGCAAGTCTTCTTACATACTGAACTGCAAGCTTTTTAAGGAAGCTATTTGTTTTTAGCAGCCATTTTATGAGTTTTCCACAACGAATTATGAATTACAACAGCATCAATTGAGACAGATAAATGTTTTGTGCTTACAACTTGTGAAAATTTCTTCCCGCCACTATTATATCTGAAAAAAAAACAAAGAATAAAGATGAATAAATATAAGTTGATGGGACAAAGGATATATAGAGGACACAAAACAAATTATTTGAACTTTACACGTCTCCAATGATAAAATGAAGCTTGCACCATACTGTTAGCTCGACAAGGTCATTCAAAGTCAAGAAAATTATTAATGCAAGTTTTTGTGATTGCGACAGGATAGGTGTCTCAAAAATAAAAACTTGCATTTTAAATATTGATAGCATTTTTTGTACGTAGGATTTTCTGAAATTGAAATAATTTATCTTACATTTTGTACATTGTTCAACAATCGCATTAATAAAGGCATACAAAACTTGCTGAATTTACAGTATAATAAAAGAAGAATGTGTCTGAGGACGCAAATGCCCCCACTCAAGCTTCAAACAAACGAAAATAGGACAGACTGACTAAAAGAGAAAAAGACGGAAGGACGGACGGTCAAAAGTAACACTAAATGCCCTTGTCGCCTATGGCAGGGGCATAAAAACTCAGAAAAAAAAACCATAAATAGCAAGACATTACAAGAATTTACAAGAGCCAGTAATCTAGTGATCGTTGTTGGTTGCATCTCTTTTTCACATTTTTATATCCTGAGAATTTATAGATTCCTATACGTTATCAGTTTTGCTCCTTGTTAAAGATTCTGCAGTGACCTGTAGTTGTTTATGTCTTTTGGTCTTTTGGTGAATAGTTTTCTCATTGACAATCATACCACATCTCCTTACTTTTATATGCAATGCAAATATAACACATACAAGAAATTTGTCGCCTTCGAGTAAATGAGACAAAATTCAAAATTATCAATGCAGATTTCTGAAAGATTAATATTTTACAAACATCTGAAGGATGTTATCTGACAGATTTATAAAACATTTTGCTTTTTTTATTCAAGGGGCAAACAAATTTGCCTTTTCATTCATTCTCCTTTATCAATAAGTATACAGACCCTCCTTCTACCATTCTTAAGAAATTAGTAATCTCTAAAGACAAACTTGAGTCAGTGTGTGACATGTATTCTAAAAAAATTCAAGTCCTATTAATCTGGAAATACAGAATTGTCAAAATTTATAACAAGTCTGTTTGTTATTTAATGGTCCATTCTCTTTTTGTGTTCTTTGTTTTCTGAAGCAATAATATATATATTGATTTATTAATACTTACTTATAAAACTTTTCAATCATGGAATTTGTTATCCTATTTGGCCCTACTCCATGTAACTTTATCATGAAATCTGTATCATTATAGTACATGTATAGACTTCTATACTGGCAACTATGATCTCGGAACAGAATCATAAAATGGTGAGCTTCAGAGCCTTCTAAAACCTGAAACATATAAACAATAACTTTTATAATGGCAACTTTTTACTTCAAGCGTCAGATTCATTTGTCACATATAACACCAGCATTTTTATACTGGCAACTATGATCCTCGAATAAAATGATAAAATTTAACACAAATGAAAGGTTAAAATTTAAGATTGTAATTGCATAACTTCTGGGTGCATTTCCTGTCAGAAAAACATTGAAAATATCCAATAGTGAATGGTTTTGACCAAGTTTTTGTAAATATTCCTATTCCATCTGCTGATATATTTTGTTCAATTCAATTACACAATAAAATTTACATTAAACATATAAAAAAGGGTTTGGTGTTTCGAAATAATATTACAACAGCCGATATATTCGTTTAGCCAATATCCCGTTAGGCGGAGTCTAATGTAATTTTAAAACCTCGAGTAAGACAGCACTGACTTATGTCTAACTCTAACACTTATTTTTTCATGGTAGCGTTAACACTTCCAGCCAGACAGCAGACTTAATTCTAACACTTAATTTTTCATGGTAGTGTTAACACTTTCATAAAGACAGCAGACTTACCTCTTACACTTTATTTGTCATGGTACTGTGAACACTTCCATACAGACAGCAAGCAGACTTATCTCTTAACACTTTATTTGTCAAGTTACTGTTAACAATTCCAGCCAGACATCAGTGACTTACCTCTAAGATTTTGTTTTTCATGGTTGTGTTAACACTTCCAGCAAGACAACAGTGACTTACCTCTAAGACTTTGTTTTACATGGTTGTGTTAAAACTTTCAGCCAGACATCTGTGACTTACCTCTAAGACTTTGTTTTTCATGGTTGTGTTAACACTTCCAGCTAGACAGCAGTGACTTATAGCATTATTGATAATACTTTTATTGGATTTGGTACTAGGTTTTACATACAACTTTGGACCTACAAAAGAATAAGTATGTTTCAAATATTTGTAGGATGTTACAATAGTATCATAAACTTGTAATAAGGCCACCATCAAAAATTTCTTTGTTTGATCATGGAAGTATTATATTGACAGGAACTACAACGAGTAATTAGCACTTATTTATAACCCAGGTAGCACTGTAGAAAAGATATGGAAACTGTCTAATTAGTACGCTGTCATTAATTTCTTTTGTGACTATCTGCGATGCCGCGGTCATTTATTGACCAGAGATACTTCTTATCAATCACATGGTTTTAATCGAGACACGTTAACGTCAATACCTGTCAGAAAACACCTTTGCTCATTTTAATGGCGTCGGTTGACCTTTATTCATAAACAACTTATCTAACCAAATCGACTGATGCAATAAAAATGAAAATCGGCCCAGAATTAGTTATACTACAACGTTTTAAAATTGTAGTTGAAATTATTTCCTTTCTTCAGGGGTTAAGTTAAAACTGTCATAAGGGTGTGTTCCGGTAACTGCCAGGTCACGAAAATTTTCCTGATATGAATATACACTGTGACGAATCGATTAATATATATAGTTAAGGACCGGGATTATCCTGGATAGTAGAAATTTTCAGTTTTAAATGTGAAAATTAATCGATGAAGGAATAAATAACACAGAAATCATATCTAACAAATATAGTAAAAAAAGGACGCTCCTCGTTATTTATATGTAAATATGTGCTTTTTAATTTTCTTGCATTTGTGAAATTCAAAACTGCTAAAATATACGTATTTGAACAAATTTTGTCCAATAATACACAGCCGGTGCTAGTATTTCTATTTGTACATTTATGAATATGTCAATCATGACTTATGATTTGACCCGTATTTATCAATTTGAGAAAGAAGAAAAAACGGAAACATATAATATGTTATGAAATGGCTAAACCATCTCTGTCGAAATGGTACTAGTAAATATTTGTTTACAGTTACAGTACTTCAATTTTTAAACATACTGGGGCTCAGCAGAAATATTCGTATAACAACAACTTATGATCTTAGTACCCTGGATTTAAAGCGAAGCCTTATATTTTTTACATCTATTTGAAATCTCTTTGATTTTATTATTTAAATCAGAACAATCATTTTACAATCGTCTTAAATATGCATGAATTGTATGCCACTGGAGTTAAACAAACAGTAATGAATCACAACTTCAGTGTGATATATATTTAGATAGTGCAGTTTCTACCAAAAAATAAATCAATAAATATGGGACAAATTTCATCGTCAATGTTTTTTTTTCTAAAATTAATGATGTCTCGCACAAATCCATCAATCTATCAATCATCAATCGGCACACATAGGCAGAAAGGGTAACGGAATCTGCCGAGGTTTGCTGATTGCTGTTTCCTTGGAATTTATCACAAATTTCGATTTCTTCGTTTATTTCCGTAATCGCTTAAGCAACCGAGAATGACAATATCGTAGGGCGCCACACACTGGTGTGTAAATAACGTGCTATGTTTCAAGTTAATTAACATGTAATTAAATTGCGCGCGGCATCGTTTGAAGTTTGGTTGTAGTAGTTCCTATCAATATAATACTTCCATGGTTTGATGTTGCCTACCCATGTTTTTTAGGGTTCGGTATGTAGGTAGGGTTTTTTTTTTTTTTTTTTTAAATGTTATCATATTTTATTGAAATCTGTACATTTGTTAGTTGAATACATCGAAAAATCGGTACCTTATCCCGGCCTTGTTAACATTAGTAAATAACATATATATGCAGATATTAGTATTTGTTAGTAATTTACACATTATAATGACATAATAAAATAAAAATATATACCATAACAGAAATAACAATTTGGATGTTCCTTAACAATTTAAATAGCTTAAAATTAACTATACTTTAAATAACAAAACATACAGATATATATATAAAAAAAAAATATGTTTGAAGTAGAAAAAAAAAAAAAAGAACAGATACAAAAACTCATAGTGAGTTCTGCATTACAGACCAGATATTGAAGAGAACTGATAATTAGAGAGAAAAAAAAATAAAAAAAGTTTTGCCTAGATGAAATTTAATTTAACATCCTATCCTATTTCTGTCAATTTTTTTTTTTTTGGGCCAACAATATAAGTTACATGTTCAAGACAAAACAAAGGGAGAGCAAGAAAAAATCTTTAAAAAAATTAATTTGAACCAATTTGTGTCATAAAATTTTTCGGGTAGGCTGCTTTTTAGGTGGGTAGTTGGCAACATCAAACAATTCTAATTCTTATTTTTTGCCTAATAAGAAAATGCTTGGGAATCAGAATTTAACGTATATAAAATATAAAGATTAAACATTCTGCACTCATTGTAACTCCCATGTTTACAGTATCTTACTACAAAAGCATTATTAGTCTTTCAAAAACTAAAAATTATTTAAAAATTGTTAATGTACACAATTTGAATATGTCAAGCCCCATTTATTCTTTCTGCCAGGAACCAACAACACCCTCAGTTATAATACTATCAGTACTAAGACACTAAGACAAACTTGATGCAGAACATAATTTTTCATTAGCTATCATACAAATAAACAAATAAAAAGTAATATGGTAAGGCCACATCAATTCAATTTCTTGTTCTACGGATTTTTCCACTCCAGAAATTGGGGCTAGCGAGCGATTTGAAAATTTTAATAACAAAAAATTTAATTTGCAATTTTTGAGGCGAAGCTTGAGAAGTAAAGCCGAGTGATTATATATTTTTTTTTGTAAACATAAAATCATAGGTTCTGACAATATTGATCAAAACAAGATGGTATGAAACTTGATTTACCACTTGTACTTTGACATTTCTTTAATTTATCAACTGCTGATGTGTTTTTTTCCCCTGTTCACCAAGACATGTAATGCCCACTTTTGATTGCAGCATATTTATGACTTCTTGTATTACTGTTAATTTCTGAGGTTCTGAGTTCTTGAACTGAATAATTGAATAATTATTTCAACTGCCTTAAATGATCTCCATTGAATTGTCATAGATGTCTTTTCTCCTTCACCGGACATGACTTATAACTAGCAACGCGGCGGGTGTCTTGCAAGAAGCAGGAACTGCTCACCCTTCCAGAACACCCGAGTTCACCACCCAGTTTTTAGGGGTTTGTGCTGTTCGTTGATGTGTGTACTTTTTAGTTTTTTTGTGTTATATATTGGTTGTCTGTGTCTCTGTTGTTTTGGTGTTCTCATTTTTGTTCTTTGTCTTTTTGGCACTTTGTATATATGAATAAGATGTGGTATGAGTGCCAATGAGCGACTCTTAATCCAAGTCACAATGTATTTAAAGTTAACAATTATAGGTCAAAGTACAGCCTTCAACACGAAGCCTAGGTTCACACTGAACAGCAAGCTATAAAGGGCCCCAAAATGGCTAGTGTAAAACAATTCAAACAGGAAAACAAACGGTCTAATCTATATACAAAACAAGAAATGCCTATGAACCACACCAACAAACAACAACTACTGAACAACAGGCTCCTAACTTAGGACAGGTGCATAAAAATGCAGCTGGTATGGATAATTTTGCTTAAAGGTGTCTGTATTAGCACATACACCTTTATTCTAACAACTAAAATCGGCATGATTTTGTGAAGAATCGTCCTTGACTTTGATAAGAAATCTTTATTATTGCTCGAAACAGTTTAAAGGGTTGCGATTTGACTAAAACGCTCTGGCGATCGCTTTTTATTTTTTTTAATGTTTACAAAAACACCGGCGCAGGAAATAGACACGATTACTTTTCCGGATGTGGGAAGCGGGAATATTTAAAAATATTTTTTTTCTGTTTAGAAAAAAATATGTGCGGGCAGGTTCGTCGAACAAGGAATTAAATTGGCATGGCCTAATTGTGGTAAAAAATGTGCCAGGCTGTGATGTTCTAAAGTTAGCCAATAGGCAATTGTGATTTACATTAGTTAATTGTACTATGATTTTCAGAATAAATAAAATACTCCGCTGGGGGCAGCTTGATACGACCGCAGAGGTCGAACCCTGAACAGTTGGGGCAAGTATGGACACAACATTCAAGCTTGATACAGCACTGAATTTGGATTGTGATTAAATATTTGACACAGCATAGGTTTCTGACACAGAATGAATGTGGTCTAAGAACTTAAAAAACTTTAATTTACCTATTCAAACCATATGATTATTATTTGCTTTTATATATAAATCAGAAATAACCAATTTAAAACGGAAAATTTTAAAGAAACAGAAGGAAAAAAAAGGAAAAAAAAATCCCTCCCCCAAATTCTTTGAACCCCCTTATGATTCATCACCCCCAAACTCAATCCCAGCCTTCCCTTTGTGGTATGGTACCTTGCAGTACAATTTCAGAGAGATCCATACACTTGAACACAAGTGTCTGGAAACTAGAAAAATGCTTGTTTTTAGGCCCCTTTTTGGCCCCAAATTCCTAAACGTTTAGGGCAATTACCCCCAAACTCAAACCCAGCTTTCCTTTGGTGATATGGAACCTTGTAGTACAATTTCATAAAGATCCATACACTTACACACAAGTTATTGTCCTGAAATTAGAAAAATGCTTGTTTTTTGCCCCTTTTTGGCCCCTAATTCATAAAATTTTGAGGCAACTACCCCCAAAATCAATCCCAGCCTTCCCTTTGTGGTATGGTACCTTGCAGTACAATTTCAGAGAGATCCATACACTTGAACTTAAGTTACTGTCTGGAAACTAGAAAAATGCTTATTTTTGGCCCCTTATTCCTTAACGTTTTGGGCAATTACCCCCAAACTCAATTCCAGCTTTTCCTTTGTGATATGGAACCTTGTAGTACAATTTCAGAAAAATCCATACACTTACACACAGGTTATTGTCATGAAACTAGAAAAATGCTTGTTTTTTTGCCCCTTTTTTGCCCCCTAATTCCTAAAATTTTGAGGCCATTACCCCCAAAATCAATCCCAGCATTCCCTTTGTGATATGGAACCTTGTGGTACAATGTCAGAGAGATCCATACACTAACACACAAGCTATGTCTGGAAGTTACAAAAATGCTTATTTTTGGCCCCTTTTGGGCCCCTAATTCCTTAACTGTTAGTACCATAACCCCCAAAATCAATCCAAACCTTCCTTTTGTGGTATTGAACCTTATGGTAAAATTTCATAGAGATCCATTCACTTTAACTAAAGTAAGAGTGCGAAAACCAATGCGTCTTCGGACGATGACGACAACAAGGACGCCGGACGATGACGACGCCGACGCCAACGTCATACCAATATACGACCACAAAACTTTTTTGCTGTCGTATAAAAATCCATGGCATTGGTATAAGCTTTTTGACATGTCATGTCAATTATAATGAAATCAACAGAAATGATTACCTGAATAATCTGACCCAGACATGGAACCAGCTTCGCTACTTCCTGAAGCAGACATTTTACCTCTACCATGCAAATCTGAAATGACAGTCATATTAAAAACTTCATTCGTAAAAAAATAAATTAAAAGTTTTGAACTAAATTGTATGAAAAACGCAACAAAATGTATTGACTTCCTGATATAATGTTTTCCTTATATATAAAAAGAAATACCAAAAACAATAAATATCTTTAAATTCTTCATAGCATATCCTGGAGTTGTATTAAAAAATTTTCATGAGATAAAATTTCATCTACTTTGGCTCACAGTACGCCATTGCTTTTAATCTTGATAGACCTAAAACATTACAGGAATAAAAGAGAGCTAGAGATAAATATATCTGTGCACATTTTTTTACAGTAAAAGTAATGTTAATTAGGATTTCTAAATTATGCCTGCAGAGTTTTAAATCGCACTTCCAAAGAAGTGAGAAACTGAAAAGGGAGATAATTTTTGTACAGGCCAATAGAGCTTATCAGCTTATACTGTGGATATACATACTGTAAATTGTAAATTCAGAAATTATTGCATGCATTTACTGAACTAGTATACATTATTGTTTAGGGGCTAGCTGAAGCCTGCCTCCAGCTGCAGGATTTTCTTGCTGTGTTGAAGACCCATTGGTGACCTTGGGCTGTTTTTTGCTCTTTGGTCGGGTTGTTGTCTCTTTGACACATTCCCGGTTTCCATTCTCAATTTTATTATTGCGATTTTAATGAATGGACAAAAATGTGAGATTAATTATTGCGATTTCAGGAAAATCTGCATACAGATGTATGTATCAGATATCAGAATGTGAGTTCTTATTATTGCAAAACTCACCCAGTAACATTATTTGCAATAATAAAAACCTCACAATAATTTCTGAATTTACAGTATACAGAACCAGCTTGATGTTCACTACAAATACTCTTTTGAATATTCAAGACAATACTGAACTTGAAGAAAACACAATTCAAATAATAGTATGTTCATACAAAGAGATTAAACAATACCTGGCGATGGTGGTCTTGTTCTATGTGTCATACCTCCAAAAGCTAATGACTTCCCTTCTGCTGAAGTTGTTAGCTGATTACAGGAAACTGAAGAAAAAAATGAAAATGAACAGAGGTTACAGCAGAAGTAGTTCACATTTCTGTTCCTAAAGCATAGGACTTTAAATTTGATGTTGGTGTACAATAATTATCTTCTGATACTCATGCTTCCTCCACCAATAAAAAACTGGCCATCATGATTTTGAAAGTGGCTTTAAATTCTAAGAATCATCAATAAACAAAAGTCATTACATTTTTATTAAGCGGAAAAGAAAAACCGATAAGGAGTACTAAAAGAAACTGGCTGGTCATCAGACAGATTACTAGTATATATATTAGTTTTATATCCTTGGACTTAAGATTTTCTCTTTAAATACCATGAGTTCTGGGCATTGGCCAGCTGTTTCCAGGAGGAACAGTAATGACCCTAATGGCTATCATAAAATATTATATATGTAAAAACTCTGCTAACAAAAAATACATTACTACAAATCACCAAAATTATTGTACATGCGTTTTGATTAATTGAGACATAGTTAGTTACAGAAGTTTTTCTCATGCAAAATAGCATCCAACATCAAACAAGACCACTTATATCAAATGTAAAATTCATCAAAAGGAAAAAGTGTTGTTACTAGAAATAGTTTGTTTTTTTGGTGATTAGTATCATTGTGTTGCTCTCTTGTCTTATACTCGACATCTGCTTTTGTTCATATTTTAAGATATTTTCTTAAGTAATCTAGCCTGTAGTTTCAGCTGCAGACAGAATTTGTTTGATCTCTCATGATCAGATTTTGAGAGTCCTAATGAAACCAAATATTGACTTTTAGATTAAAATCTGCTAATCTGTTTTGGAGAAAAAAAGGCTAGCTAGTAATAAAAAAGTTTGAACAAACCTGCTTTTCTCATTTTTCCATGATGGAATGTGTTGCTTCGAGGAGGGAACCGCCTTCCAGCTAAAAATAAATTGTGCGAACTAAACAAAATGCAAACAAAGCTAAAAAGCAAATAAATAAGAAAAAAGCAATAAACTAAAAATAAAAGCAGAACTGGAAAGCAAATGTGATGTAAATGAAACTGAAAAGATATTCATTCTAAGCATTCACCATTCTTCAACTTTTTTTTAACTAGGGAAGTATTAGGATTTATCTTAAGGGTATACAATACAGAAAAGACTTCACATTGATTTTTCAGTAAAATTATGACAAAAAGTTGATTTCACTATGAATGAACTATCCAAATTTGCAAAGAAAAAAATACCTTTACGTCATACTTTCGAGGTATTTTGGTTTGTTTTTGGCCCATTTGAGGCAAAAATATGAATTTTTATATTTCAATACTTTTACGAAAACTTGAATGAGCTATTATCTTCCCCTGAAATACTGTATCATATACCCTTAATACTTTTAAGATACAACTTTTCATGGATAAATTAAAGAGCTCATGCATTTTTCAGGCAGAATCTGTCTTTTCTTATATATCAATCTGTTAGTTCTTTCTTTTCTCTCCATGAAGTCAAATATAACTGGCACAGACCCAGGTGTCATTACATATCAGAACTTCATGGTGAATTGACTGCTCCCTGGCAGCCAAACAAGGAGGAGTGAAGAGTCAATGGGAGTGAGGGGTTGCAATCATGCTTTTCATGTGATAAATTTGCCAGCATGACACATTTTATTACTTTAAGAGCCCTTTTCATGACAAATGTTATGAATTCATCTATTTGCCTTGTGGTCTGAATGAATTGAGTTAATAAAGCATTGAATTTTGTTTAATCTCAAAGTTTATTTAAACGAAAGTCTGTTACAATTTGGTCACATTTGTGCTAAACAACAATAAATAAAACCAAACCAAGTCAAGGACCACCTCCTCGCCCACCCCACAAAATCTGGATGTGAAGTAGGTATCTAGTTATATAATATCTTAATCATAATTTTACTCTATTTACGAGATCAAATTTTATAGATGTATTTATTGTTTAAATAAATTTTAATGACACTCCTATCTTAAATCTGATGCAGTTACAGATAGAGATGAAGTTCAAAGTGAGGTTGGTGCTAACTTATACCTTTATTACAATAAGGTACAAATGATTGGCTAATAGGGCCTTAATTAACAGTAGCTTTCATCATACCAAATTGACATTGAAACATGAAAGAGGACATCAATATTGTATTTGCGATTTAAGCTATAGCAAAACCTGTCAAAATCAATATTAAGCAATGTCATTGATACTGAACTATTGTATCGTGTTATTCCATTAAAGTGGATGCTGAAGAGTACAAAGGGACTTCCTAAACCCCTCATAACCAACATACCTTGAGTAATTTTCTTTACATCAAATGGGATAGAAAATATTATATGACCCATGACTAAAATATAACTTCCCTTGCTACCCACCCTTATTCAAATTGATCAAATAGCCAGCAGATATTGACTTTTTGATCTTTTCAAAACCTTCTGTCTCAATAGAAAATGTTTGTTTTTTTCACCAATTTAACTGTACCTAACTTATTTCTATCTTCACAGTTAAGTTTCAGTCAGTATCTTGTCATGTTTAAATACTGCGGTTTCATTACGAAGGGATACTAATGTTCAGGGATTTTAAGAATAAAGGTGAACCAAGAATTTAATCATTCCACGAAATATAATTTCCTATTAGACTGTATACGAAACTTGTGAAAATCATGAAATCATGAATCCACAAAACTACTATTTTCCATGAAATCATGAAAATTGATGCCCACAAAAATCAAAGAATCCTTTACATTAGTATAAAACCTGTATTACCAGTTAAATCTTCTTGAGAAGTGTGTAAGGCTTCTTTATGGGCAGGTTTATTTGGTTTTACAAACATAGACTGAGGTCGTGATTTCTGCCGAAATGATCGCTCTCGTTTGACAACTGGACGAGTCTCCTCATCTTCTTTATGTTTTTTCTCCTGGTACTGTCTAAAAATCTCTTCCCTACGTAACTTTTCCTCTAATTTTCTTTGATCTGACTGTTCCTGTTTAACCCTGAATAGATAAGTATAATTACAGTTATTTGACAACACTAAAAAAAACGAAGTGCTTGTAAGCACTGATGGGAAAAGGTTGCTTTCATTTTGCAATTTTCTACCAATTAACTGTATTTAGCTAGGCAAATTATACATTTGAGTTGGAGTTATCTCCTCTTTTTTCATGATTGTACATTTGAAGTTGAACCTATTTTTATAACAGATTCATACGCCATGCACGACTCATGTAATTCTAATTTGACAAGTATGATTATTCAAATACAAATTGTAACTTAAATATCTAAGTATAACATATCATCAAGAAAATTGCATGACAATGACTGGATAGGAACTAAAGAATGGTCACTTCACTGCACTATTTTGTTTGGACTATTAAAGGTAGTGATAAACCTTGGAAGATATAGATATCAAGTCAGTACCATCAGGGTTTTGATTGCATTTCATTAAAATCTTTACCCCAAAAAATGCATAACTGTATTGGTGATATATAGTTCATTATCTATATACTAGGAAACATTTTGAAACCATCACCGTGCAGATCAGGGACTCTAAATTTATTGTACATAGTCATTAAGAGGCTGATATAATCAGTGAAACATGTCGACCAATAAAATTATGCATTTTCTTAAGTATTGTCAAATAAACAGGATTTGTTGTTTTTTTTCTTCAAATTAACAACCCTGCATGTCATTGGTATCCACTTTAACTAGAGGCTCTCAAGAGCCTGTGTCGCTCACCTGATTCAACTTTGGTTTTGGAAATCTTGTAAAAATAGATTAAAATCATAACAGATACCCTAATAATGAGTGAGGCCAAATTTTGTTTAATATTGGTCCTGTAATTTAATAAAAAATCCTGGTGGCCAACTTGAACAGTAAATCGGCAACAAAGTAGCAACACTTAATCAGCACCTCATAAGAAACATTTATGCCATGTTTTGGTTTCATTCCATTCACTGCACCTCTAGAAGAAGCATTTGTATGTATTTCCCATAGGGTCTTATGTTAAAGGAAGTCCCCCCATTGGCGGCCATCATGGATGAAGGATCAGCTTCAAAGTAACAAAACTTAGTCAGCACCTCATAAGGAACATTCATGCCATGTTTGGTTTCAATCCATTCAGTATGTGGTTCTCTAAAAGAAGACATTTGTATGTATTGTCCATAGGGTCCTTTGTTAAACATTGTCCCCATCTGGCAGCCATCATGGATGAAGGATCAGCTTCAAAGTAACAACACTTGGTCAGCACCTCAAAAGGAACATGCATGCCATGTTTGGTTTGATTCCATTCAATGGTTCTCTTAAAGAAAACATTTGTATGTATTTCTCATAGGGTCCTATGTTAAACTAAGTCCTCAGCTGGCGGCCATCTTAGATTATGGATCAGCTTCATAGTAACAACACTTGGTCAGCACCTCATAAGGAACATTCATGCCATGTTTGGTTTCATTGCATTCAGTGGTTCTCTAAAAGAAGACATTTGTATGTATTTCCCATAGGGTCCTATGTTAAACTAAGTCCCCCGCTGGAGGCCATCTTAGATTATGGATCAGCTTCATAGTAACAACACTCGGTCAGCACCTCATAAGGAACATTCATGCCATGTTTGGTTTCATTCCATTCAGTGGTTCTCTAAAAGAAGACATTTGTATGTATTTCTCATAGGGTCCCATGTTAAACTAAGTCCCCTGCAGGCGGCTATCTTGGATTATGGATCGGCTTCAAAGTAACAACACTCGGTCAGCACCTCATAAGAAACATTCATGCCATGTTTGGTTTCATTCCATTCAGTGGTTCTCTAAAAGAAGACATTTGTATGTATTTCCCATAGGGTCCAATGTTAAACTAAGTCCCCTGCTGGCGGCCATCTTGGATTATGGATCAGCTTCATAGTAACAACACTTGGTCAGCACCTCATAAGGAACATTCATGCCATGTTTGGTTTGATTCCATTCAGTGGTTCTCTAAAAGAAGACATTTGTATGTATTTCCCATAGGGTCCCATGTTAAACTAAGTCCCCCGCTGGCAGCCATCTTGGATTATGGATCGGCTTCAAAGTAACAACACTCGGTCAGCACCTCATAAGGAACATTCATACCATGTTTGGTTTCATTCCATTCAGTGGTTCTCTAAATGAAGACATTTGTATGTATTTCCCATAGGGTCCTATGTTAAACTTAGTCCCCTGCTGGCGGCCATCTTGGATTATGGATCGGCCTCAAAGTAACAACACTCGGTCAACACCTCATAAGAAACATTCATGCCATGTTTGGTTTCATTCCATTCAATGGTTCTCTAAAAGAAGACATTTGTATGTATTTCCCATAGAGTTCTATGTTAAACTAAGTCCCCTGCAGGCGGCCATCTTGGATGATGGATCCGCTACAAAGTAACAACACTTGGTCAGCACCTCATAAGGAACATTCATGCCATGTTTGGTTTCATTCCATTCAGTGGGCCAGGTGAGCTAATAAGGAAACTCTACCAACACAAGATGAAAATGGACACAAGTTTAGATTTCTTATCAAATTACAATGTTTCTTTTTATTTTGAAATATCAATATCTGGTTTTCAATGTTTTTGGTGTAAACTTACATGTTTACATATATAACAGTCAAGAGTGTAACTTAAATAAGTTATTATAGAATAAATGTGGATAGTGTCCACATGTGGACACATATGATGCCCCCGCTTGCATATCATATAGTTATAAAGGGACATAACTGAAGAGCGATAAAAGCGAAGCTACCCAAATTTGAACTTGATCTGAGTTTTGTGGTAATAAGCATTGTGTGTAAGTCTCATAACATTTGGTTGTGGCTAACTTAAGAAGAAAACAGAAACTAAAAATTCAGCAATTTTTCTATTTGTAAACACGCATAACTCTAGAACGGTTGTGTATAAGTTTTATAACATTTGGTTGAGACAAACTAAATAAAATGCTTCGCTGGGGCGCAGCTTGATACGACCGCAGAGGTCGAACCCTGAACAGTTGGGGCAAGTATGGACACAACATTCAAGCTTGATACAGCTCTGAATTTGGATTGTTATTAAATATTTGACACAGCATAGGTTTCTGACACAGAAAGAATGTGGTCTAAGAACTTGAATTTTTTTAATTTACCTATTATGGTCCAATGTCCAAAATCAAAATACATGGTTAGATTCAGCATATCAAAGAACCCCATATATTCAATTTTTGTTAAAATCAAACAAAGTTTAATTTTGGACCCCAACTTGGACAAACTTGAAAACTGGGCCCATAATAAAAAATCTAAACACATGTTTAGATTTAGCATATCAAAGAACCCTAAGAATTCAATTTTTGTTAAAATCAAACTAAGTTTTATTTTGGACCCTTTGGACCTCAATGAAGACCAATTTTAAAAAATGGGACCCAAATTAAAAATCTAAAAACACGGTTAGATTTGGCATATCAAAGAACCCCAATAATTCAATTTTTGATGAAATCAAACAAAGTTTAATTTTAGACCCTTTTGACCTCAATATGAACCAATTTGATAGCGGGGCCCACAAATAAAAAATCTAAATACATGGTTAGATTCAGCATATCAAAGAACCTCATATATTCAATTTTTGTTGAAATCAAACAAAGTTTAATTTTGGACCCCAATTTGGACCGACTTGAAAACTGGGCCCATAATCAAAAATCTAAATACATGTTTAGATTCAGCATATCAAAGAACCCCATATATTCAATTTTTGTTGAAATCAAACAAAGTTTAAATACTGGACCCTATCTTGGACCAACTTGAAAACTGGGCCCATAATCAAAAATCTAAACACATGTTTAGATTTAGCATATCAAAGAACCCCAAGTATTCAATTTTTGTTAAAATCAAACTAAGTTTAATTTTGGACCCTTTGGACCTCAATGAAGACCAATTTTAAAAAATGGGACCCAAATTAAAAATCTAAAAACACGGTTAGATTTGGCATATCAAAGAACCCCAATAATTCAATTTTTGATGAAATCAAACAAAGTTTAATTTTAGACCCTTTTGACCTCAATATGAACCAATTTGATAGCGGGGCCCACAAATAAAAAATCTAAATACATGGTTAGATTCAGCATATCAAAGAACCTCATATATTCAATTTTTGTTGAAATCAAACAAAGTTTAATTTTGGACCCCAATTTGGACCAACTTGAAAACTGGGCCCATAATCAAAAATCTAAATACATGTTTAGATTCAGCATATCAAAGAACCCCATATATTCAATTTTTGTTGAAATCAAACAAAGTTTAAATACTGGACCCTATCTTGGACCAACTTGAAAACTGGGCCCATAATCAAAAATCTAAACACATGTTTAGATTCAGCATATCAAAGAACCCCAAGAATTCATTTTTTGTTAAAATCAAACTAAGTTTAATTTTGGACCCTTTGGACCTTAATGTAGACCAATTTAAAAAAAACAGGACCCAAAATTAAAAATCTAAATACACGGTTAGATTTGGAATATCAAAGAACCCCAATAATTCAATTTTAGATGAAATCAAACAAAGTTTAATTTTGGACCCTTTTGACCTCAATATGAACCAATTTGATAAAGGGGTCCACAAATAAAAAATCTAAATACATGGTTAGATTCAGCATATCAAAGAACCCCATATATTCAATTTTTGTTGAAATCAAACAAAGTTTAATTTTGGACCCCAATTTGGACCAACTTGAAAACTGGGCCAAAAATCAAAAATCTAAATACATGTTTAGATTCAGCATATCAAAGAACCTCATATATTCAATTTTTGCTAAAATCAAACAAAGTTTAATTTTGGACCCTTTGGACCTTAATGTAGACCAATTTGAAAACTGGACCCAAAATTAAAAATCTAAATACACTGGAATAACAAATAAATAAATGTGATCAAAGATTTTACAAATCTAATGCGCCATACTGTGCAATTAAAGATTACTTCTTGAAATTTTTCAATATTTGAAATTTGAAAAAAAAATAATATTTGAAGAATA